AAATGGCAGTTTCGATCAGATACTGTTACAGACTCAGAAAACAGTTTTATTTATTTGGCTTTTGATGACAAATATAGGAATCTTCTCTTTCTAAGATAACTTATTTATTGCTGTATTTTAAATAAAATATTTTAATACCCATATCAGCCGTCTTTACTATGTATTTACTTCGAGTGGATTCCTCGTCATCATGAATTATTGTTGAAGTTAGGTAATTCAGATACTTTTATTTGTTTGTTATCAGACAAAAAGTTACACTATAGGCTATCTGTGTTTTGCCCACTACGAGTATCGAAACCAGATTTTTAGCGTTAGAAACCCTCAGATTTTACCGCTGAGACACTTTAAGGACTATACGTTTTTAAATTGTATTATATATTTCCGATAGATGTCAGCACTATTCATGTTAACATGGTACGATGATTATATAATACATGTTTACCAAGAGACCGTAGTGGCTAAACTGTATGTATTTTATATTCTTTAGATAACCCTTTTTACACTATTTTATATTCTTTAGATAACCCCTTTTACACTATTTTATAAAATATCTGTGTAACACTTATCTTTTCGAAAGAGCGCAAGTTCAAACTCACCTCCATCGGTTTGACGTTCATAAAGGTTCCTGGATGAAGTTGGTCGAAAATTTGATTTTGATAATATGTTTCCTTCGCTTCATGAATCATCTCAATTTTGCTCAGTATTATGGACAGGGAGACTTTTGTAATTTATCTTATTTTTGTACAGTTACTTACTATTCTTCAGAGAGCACGACATTATTGCGTATTTCTATTTTGCATTTATTTAGGCTGTATATGCAGTTTTCATAGGGCAGCGTTTCTCAAACTGGGGTTTGTGAACCTCCAGGGATCCGTGAGTCCGAAATTCCATTAAAATGTTAAAAAAAATATTATTTATAAAAGTGAAAAACATTTTTCGTAAAATTAAATTCAAATGAATTAAAATTTTAATTTTGGAATACAGCTCAAAAACAAAAAACATTGATAGGTTTGGGGACCGCGAAAACATTTTAAATTAAAAGGGGTCCTCGGGTTACTAAAGTTTGAGAACCGTATAGGGTATTTCATTCGATGTTTCCCTTTCATATGTGTGTTGAATTTTTCATTTGTATGTTTTGTGTTTCAATCGGGGACTTTGAATTACCTTGGTCAACAGTCATGCAATTTTAAAGTAAACAAGAAATTTGTAAAAGTTGTATAATTGATAAAGAATAAAATTAGTAGTGAAAGATGTAAAAATAAGTAAAAACATCAGTGAAAAGTATTATAAGAGTAACATGGATTTCATATTATTTTTTTGAGCAAAAGTTAACCAAATGCAAGTTAAATATAAACAGGTTAATCCATAAGATAATATTTCTGTGTAAGGCTGACCTACAGATTCACTCTGGTTTTCCTAAAGTTCATTTCTTCATTCCATTTCCTTTGTGTGATGTGTTATAAGTGTGAAATGAAACTTACTGTTATCAGTTGGCCGAAGCAAGTGACCATAATAAAATGTTCTTGCTATGTGTATGTGAATGTCGAAATGAACCTATATGCAAGTTGCTTAAAAATCCTTTACGAAGTTTGAGTGAGTGATAAGTTAACGTTGGATCTTTTATTCTGAATTAAAGCAACGATACAATTAGAGGATTTTATAATGTTTTTAGAGAAAGAAATATCGTAAAAAGTTTAATTAAAGTTGATGAGAGGTCATCCTTCTTCTTGAACGGGACTGAATGTTTTCTAAGACCTGAGCTCGAGGACTTCCAAACGTTCAGTTGTTAATGGCGCACAGAAGACGAACCTGTAAACTAGTGTCTGTCTGGATGCTGGTTCCAATCGTGCAGCTTCTTAGCAGTTTTCCAGAAACAGAAGAGAGTAACATTTTCTGATTTAGTCTCTTTGCTTCACTCTTATACTCCATCCTTTCATTTCACGTGCCTTTTCACTTATGAACACCACAAATCTAGCACGTGGCTTACCTATTAACATTTCTTTTCACTCTCACCTTTTCTTTCGCGATTCCTTTTCTAATTTTTAATGCTAAGAATTTAGTAACTGGCTTGCATCTTCACTTTTATACCACACTTATATTTCGCGCTTCTTTTACTGTTCTTCATGCCAAGAATCTAGTGCACACTTTACATCATCATTCTCTTGATTAGTTAAATTTAGTCTAAGGTTTTCCATTTCTCCACTTTTTGGAAATTAACAAAATTGTGTTCATTGCTTTAGTCGTGATTTCGCTATTTTTATCGTTACTCAATTAAGTTTTTGATTGCTTGTGTTTCATATAAAATAATGTTAATCGTAAAGCTTAGAAGAAAGAAAACGTAAAGGAACAATATTTTCACCATCACTTGTGTTACGTTTCATGTCTATCTATCTCCGACACAAGAAAATCAAACAAACTGTTCCATGGAAATGCAAACTTAACAACATTGAATAATCAACTAATCTATTAGGTCGTCAAGAAATTAACGTTGCGTTTTGGAACACTTTCACTAACCACCCCACAAAAAACGTACATCACGTGTAATAGTTAAACGAACCGTCTAAACGTCACGTTAGTGTATCCTATATAATGTAAAGTTTAGTATACTCTAATCTCTTATAGTGATGGCACACGACGAGACACTCATTCGGCATGTAATGCTGTTTCAATACAAGAAGGGAAACAACACCTCTGGAGCCACAAAGAATATCAAAGAAGTTTATGGAAATGTTTTGAACGTTCGTAAGTGTCAACGATGGTTCAGAAAATTTCGTTCAGGTTACTTTAGCC